TGCAAATCTTACTTTGTAGTTATTTACCGTTTTTGTTTTAATTATTTTGGCTTGTCCGGAGCTGTTAGCATCTCTGGTTCGTTGTAGTGGAACTGGGCGTCTAAGGCCTTACGGCCCTTTTCCCATTCATCCTGAAATTAGACTAAGAACCATACATGACAAAAATAAAGTTTGGAGAGCAAAATGGAGTTCTTCAGAGAAAAAAAAAAGGCTTTTTGCCATTATTAGGTAATAACAAAATTACAAGTAATAAAAAAGTACATGAAAAAAGGTAAAATTAAAGTACAATAGGAAAATAAAGACTAATGCAAATTTACAGTTTGGAAATACAATACATACAAAAGGGAGGCGAGTTAAAGGAATGTGAGGATGTGTGTATACGTGTATGTAAGTGTGGCTCTGTTAAAGTACAGAACCGGCCGTCATGGTAATTACCACTCGTGCCAGTAGCTCTCTACACTTAAGTTACAGGGATTAGCTTACCCTTGATCAGACCCCGAGGGTTTTTTTAGCTCCGAAGAAACTTAATACAGGGTTCATAAGCCCCTGGAAAAATTAAAAAGTGGTAGTGATATTCGCATAATTTTTATTTGTAGCTGCCAGAATAGTTTATTTTCTCAAAGTAAATATATGTAGATCCGAAAGTTGTTAATGTCAAGAAATGTTAAGCTTTTTAATAACAAGTTTTACACCACTTATTAAAGTTTTCCATGTGCATACTAACCTTGTCAAACTGAAATTTAAAATTTAACCCTTTAATGGGCCATTTATTTCCAGTGAAAGTAAATTAAAGTATTTTTGGAATTGAAATAGTTATAAGAATAGCAATTGATATAAGAAAGAAAAAAACACATTTAGCTTATAAAAAAGCCATTTTATTGGTGGTTAGTATATTTAACACGACCCTATTAGGAACTTATTAGATTTTATTTTTCTTTATTTATAAAATATATGCTACAATCTTCAAAAGGAATAATGCATTTTATAACTTTTATACGTTTTCTTAAACTAACAAATGGTTGCCAATTTTATTCAAACGCACTTCAAGAAAGCTGAAGTTATAAACAAATGAAAACCAAATTTAAAGTGATAAAAAATTTCACCATAGACGTTATAAATTGGTGGTAAGTATACTTACCACGGCTTTAGAAGGGGTTAAAGTCGTGGTTCAAAAGATCACTTTTTATCAAGCACGGTAACAATTAAACCAAATATATTTAAAGAAAATTGTAAGTTAGTTAATGAACAAGACTAAAACTTACAATGCCTTTTGAAAAGCATTTTATAGCGTGATCGATTATCAACTCTCAAATTATTGTTATGTAATGGCAATATTTTAAAATCCTTAACGCGATAGAATTTTGCAAGAATATGCAACGAGAGTCTAAAAATATAATGAATGGTAGGAACTCAATCCATCTTTATTTAATCATTCAATCCACCACCACGACTTGCAAATCATTCATATTGCAAATTCATATTTGATAGAAAAGCTTTGCTTGCATTGACTTTCAATAGTAAACAAAAAAAAATATGCCGTAAAAAATTACTAATTTTAATCTTGTGTAATAGAACTTTTTGTAATTTATTAAAAACAGGGATGGCACAGGCAACTGAAAATAAAAAAGTGGTAGAAACTCAATCAAATTTTATGTATTTATTATCTTTTAAATTATTCAATAGTAGCTACTTCTACATTTCAAATTATTCTTATTTAAAGCAAAAACGTTATTGGCATTCACTTTCAATAGTAAGCAAAAAAAATATGCTTATAAATATTGCTAATTTTGATCTCCTTTAATAAAATTTCTGATTTTATTATCCACTTTTTACATTTTTAATCACCTGTAGCATCCCCGAACCGAAGAAAAGTCTCCTATTTTTTGAAGTTTTGATTCATGTTTAAGTAGTGGTGTGGAAAATGACTTAAAATAAAATTTACTGAATAAAGAACCAAACATTAAAGCATAAACTTAGCACTCGAAGAAATTTTTCCATAAAATGTAGAAAGTTGGCAGCCCCGAGTCAATAGTAATTTATAAGGAGAAAAGCAATAAACATTGTGGATTTCCTTTATGTGTCTCCATTATTCGTGAAAGACACAAAGCTTCTCATTTGTGTGTTTTTCTTTTGTATCAAAACACTGTATTTTAAATGAATAACCAGGAAATTAAAACTACGTCTGGCTGCGCATCTTACATTAATTCATTTCCCCGTGATGATTGATACTTAATTAAAATAAATATTTTCGTCATTATTTACTAGCTTTCATACCTTGTCATCTTACAATTAAAATTTCGACTCTTTTTCGATTATATAGCAGAACTCAAATCTATTCTAGAGCTCCGTGCTTTATGATTAATCACAGTCTATCTAAGCAAGGCTAACCGTCAAATGAAATAAAAACTTTATTGATGTTCTTAAAACTGGCTGTTTCCCAACTAGTTAGCGACCTCAAATCATCTATCTTTCTCGATTCCGTTCACAATACAAACTTCACTCGCATCGTAAACCACAAGTAGAATACATCGACAAGGACCATCAATTATCGATCAAAGTTTCGATCACTTACTGATTTGCTCGGGTGCTCAAGTTTTTTTTTGCAAGAGCTTTATGCTTGCTTGACGACAGAATCTAGTTTCTAAATGCTACAAGTTGAAGTCTTTGTCTTAGAACCTAAACTAATTTATCGTCAATCCAAATTTTTACCACTTTCGCAACAACTAAGCAAAAGCAAACAATCACTTTAGTATAATTAATTTACAAATTTATATAACATATAAATAATTTTATTAATAAATATATAATTCCTTAACAATTTTACAACACTTACTCAATGCCCTCCGTGAATCTTCGAAATTTAAAGTAAAGTAAGTTTTAGTTAGAAATTCTTGAAGAACAGAAAGGTTGAAATAACTTTTGGCAAAGGACGATCATAAATTAAATGAAAGCCAAATCCGCCAAGACATGGAAGAAGGCAAAACATCCAGACACAAATAGATTCAGTTAAACTGCAATGATAAAAAGCCAAGTGCTCCAATTTGGTGTAAAGAGATATATGTGTGTGTTATGTCGAATGCCAATGAAATTTTTGATTACTTTTTTTGACATAAATGAATTGAAGTAATGCTGAAACGAAGAATATAATAAAATTAAAAATAAATTTTATGAACGACGTTTTTAAGTAGACTGAATTTTAAGGTAGTATTTCGATTTTAATATGGCTTCAAACGAAAGTCATATCACTTCCGAAACAATCGAATCGAAATTTCTACCATTACTATCGCAATCGAAAATTACTAACATGTCATTCGGAAACGCTGACCCTACGTTTTCTGCTTAAAACGAAAATGAGAAACAAATTCTGACTATTTTTCCTTCGTGTGAAGGGAAAAACGCACTTTCGTAAGTCGTAAACCGTGTCATTTTCGAAATAATATAATCGAAATTATCACCATTACTATCACAATCAAAAATTACGAACATGTCATTCGAAAACGCTGACCCTACGTTTTTTGCTTGAAACGAAAATGAGAAACAAATTCTGACTATTTTTCATTCGTGTAAAGGGAAAAACGCACTTTCGTAAGTCGTAAGCCGTGTCATTTTCGAAATAATATAATCGAAATTACCACTATTACTATCGCAATGGAAAATTACTAACATGTCATTTGGAAACGCTGACCTTACGTTTTTTGCTTGAAACGAAAATGAGAAACAAATTCTGATTGTTTTTCATTCGTGTAAAGGGAAAAACGCACTTTCGTAAGCCGTGTCATTTTCGAAATAATAGAATCGAATTATTATTACTGGCTATTACTATCGCAATGGAAAATTACTAACATGTCATTTGGAAACGCTGACCTTACGTTTTTTGCTTGAAACGAAAATGAGAAACAAATTCTGATTGTTTTTCATTCGTGTAAAGGGAAAAACGCACTTTCGTAAGTCGTAAGCCGTGTCATTTTCGAAATAATATAATCGAAATTACCACTATTACTATCGCAATGGAAAATTACTAACATGTCATTTGGAAACGCTGACCTTACGTTTTTTGCTTGAAACGAAAATGAGAAACAAATTCTGATTGTTTTTCATTCGTGTAAAGCGAAAAACACACTTTCGCATGTCGTAAGCAGCATCTGTTTCGAAATAATAGAATAGAAATTACCACCATTACTGTCACAATCGAAAATTATCAACATGTCTTTTGGAAATGCTGTTCCCTACCTTTTTCGCTTTAAAGTAAAATGAAGAAGATGAAAACAAATCTGACTATTTTTCATTTCCATATAAAGCGAAAAACACACTTTCGATACGGAAAATCATTTTTCAAAGCAATTGAATCGAAATTATCACCATTACTATCGCAATCTAAAATTACCAATACGTCCTTTGGAAATGCTGTTCCCTTCGTTTTTCGCTTTAGACAAAAAGTGAAAAAAATAATTTTGATATTTTTCAATTTTGCATTAAGCGAATGACATGCTTTCGAAAGTCGAAAGGAGCATCATGGAACAATCGAATCGAAATAAACACCATTATTATCACAATCGGAAATTACCCTCCTGCTCTTTGGAAATGATTTTTCCTACGTTTTTCGCTTTAGACGAAAATGACTTCGCTTTAGACGAAAATGACTTCGCTTCAGACGAAAATGACTTCTCTTTAGACGAAAATGACTTCACTTTAGAAGATTATATTTATAGTTTACTATAAATATAGTTGCTATAATATAAATTTATATAATAAATTTATATAAAATTATGAAATGAATTGTTTATTTCATTTCGTTATTTAATTTCCAATTTTTTTTAAACCATTCGAAGAATGTTTTAAGAATTCCAGAATGATATTTCATAAATAAAAAAAAAATAACAATGTCGTAATAACAACGTCTTAAAACTGCCACTGATCAAATAAATATTCAGCAATGATATCCATCATAAAACAAAATGACGAAATACTATAAAACTTTCAGCTATAAAAGATAAGGTGTGCAGTTTTATAACTTTGCTCATAACATTGACACACATGCATCTAATGTCCTTAAGAGCTCAGATTAAAATAATAATAGTCAAAAGTTTTAAAAAAAATAATGATTTCATTTGAAACGCTATTTTATAATACTTTTCTCAACTAATTACACATCTATTACTTTTAATGACTTTTTAAATTCCGTTGTCAAGAATCAAAAAAATAATTGTAAAAGTTTTGGAAAAAAACACCAAGTCATGCGAATTAAATGCTTATGTTTCGTAAATGAAATAAGTTGAGTGCTCCAGCGGAAACAATAGTGCAAAGTTCGGTCGTTTTAATGTTTAAAAGTAATGAAAATAATTCATTAATTGAATTCTTTAATTAATTCTAATTGAATATTATTAATTTTACGTGTTTCTTGAAAATTCGCAAAGTTTCAGGTGCAATTAATTAACGTTAATTTCAGTAATTAGTGCTTGTTTGAACTTATTTCCTAATTTACAATAACAACAAATTCAAACATTACATTCTTTTTGTCGATAAGAAAACAAAGAAATTCCAAAAAGAAAATTTTCAAAATGGTGGCCGGAAAGGGATATTCACTATGGACAGCAGCAGTTTTTATGGTGTCTTTTAATGCAGGACTTGGCCTTTTGGCCCTCCCACACGCGTTAGCCGGAACTGGTAAGTAATTTTTAACTATCTGTATAAAAGTTATGATAAATTATGTTTTTAACAACATCCATTTTTAAAATCAGTATTTAAGGATTGATTTTTGTAAGCATAATGCTAGATAGAAGTTTATCAGCTAAATTATAACGGAATGAAAAATTGATAAAGATTTGCTGGGTGCTTTATATATTAAAAAGTGATAATTCTGTTCAAAAATAATTTTAATATTATTCTGTTTATATTAAACTTAATAGAGACAGAATTTTTTAAATCCTAAGAAAAAAAATCCTATTTAAAGAAAACAGGTAGTTTAAAAAAAATAATTAATTTTTGATCGGGGATGAGAGGAGTGATTTTAGTGGATTAGCTACTAGATCTAATTTGCCTGTTACTTATACTAAATACACTGTCATTCGTATTATGTGATGGTTTCTCAGTGCATTACTTCATTCTGAAGTAGACTGTTATATATTGCAAAATAATTTTTAATTTTTTTTTTACTTGTTCGAAATAAATGCTTGGCAAGCTTCGTAAAAAATAAAATAAAAAAATAAAATATTTAAAAAAAAAAAATTTTTATTGGTAATAAGTTTTATTTATAGATTCTATTTTCCTTTCAACATTGCAATTTTAAATGACTGACAAAATTAGAAATTTGATCGATATCGAAAAAATGCCCTGAATTTCGAAGAGGTATTCACCATTAAATAATCTTCTTACTCAAAAATATTTTTTTATTTTTTAGCAAGTTAAAACTCGCTGTAGTTAAAATAATTAACTTTTTATATACCTGTTATAATTTTTCATACGTTGTGGTAGTCAAACAAACATAATGAAATAACATGAGTTTCGTTAACACTTTAAATATGAAAATAAAATCTTTTCGTGAAACAAGAAGTGAAGACAAGGATTCCCCGAGGATGGCTGCATAGGGTCCAGCTAATTCTTAGCGATCGCTCTTGGGGGTTACCTCCATTATCTTCAAAATCAAATCGGAAGTACTTGACTTTTAGCAAAGTGTTTTAATTTTAGTTATTGTCATTCTCTTGATGCGGAAATGCCAAGTTGACGTCATGAAAACCAGATCATTTAATAAACTTTAGCGTCAATAAAAATCATCTCAACGGATTTAATTATGTGTAAAAACAAATTACAAATATAAAGGATAGAGCCGTGATGGCTCAGGGGATAGAGCGCTCGCCTTCCAATGCGGTGAACGGGTTCGAATCCCAGAGATGGTTGGTTGATACGAATTCCACATCCGGCTTGCACCGAACACAGTGCTGACGTAAAAATATCCTCACTGGTAGACGGATCATGGGTTAGAGTCCTCTTGCCACCAAGCTAACCTTGGGAGGTTTTCGTGGTTTTCTTCTCAATGTACGGCAAATGCGACTTAGTTCCATCTAAAAAAACTCCAGGAAAGCAAATTTCTCCCTGTACTTGATTCAGGAGTTCCCTTGTCTTTCGAATTGGGTTCAAAATTACAAAGCTATGTAGTTGAATATCAGTAGTTGTAAACCCAATAAATTGGGACGGATATTCAACAGCAACAAATAAACAACTATGTTTTGTATTTAAATTTACATCTAATTTTTCATTATAAAAATCAGTTAGTTTTAAAAGATGAGAAGAAGTTTGTTGAAGATGCTTATTTTTTGTTCTAAAATAACTTTTTTTTTCTAAATTAACTTTCAACTCTAAAAGTAAATGGCATCGTTTTTAGTGCAGTCTGACTGCAACATGAGGTTGTAGATGTCTTTCAGAGATCGTCATAAAGAACTCTCTAACTAAGAGCCTCACACAAATATTTTAAACATATTTTAATCTACATATTTGTTTTGTTAATATTTTTTATTTTGATATTTTTCGTGTTTCCTTATCTGGCCTTTTCTGCATTTGGTGCGGATGTTGGCCGGGTCACTGGGAAAGGTTTGAAGGTGTCTCCTAGGTTTACTTCAACACAAAATCTATTGAAAAAATTCTGTGTGTCCCAAAAGTGGTCGTAAATACAGGAGGTCTTTTCTCGATTTTTCACTGTATAATATAAAATATAATAATTAAAAAAAAATAAAAAATTATAACACCAGTTTTTATTTAAAATTGTAATTATTCAATAACAAAAATTTGTTATTAAAAAGTGTGCGTTCCTGAACCCTTGATAATTCAAAAATGCTAGCAGTCGCTAGCAAAAAATATTTCTGAAATAGCTCAACTGCCTAATTGCAATATTCGAAACCAATGATCCACTTCTAATTTAAGCATATTCTTTAAATGGAAAGCATTTTGAATTTTTGTAAGTTAAAGTAATAGTTAAAGGGAAAAAAAATATTTACATAGTCAAAACATGCCTTAAAACAAATATATATTACGTCTTTTTTCACATTTGAGCAATTAGCAAGCTAGCAGGTTAGATCATAAAGGGCTATATCAGTGTCAATTTTTACATATATATCTTGCATGTTAATGATAGCCAAAATCATTGCTAAGTCAATGCACTTTTTTAACCCATTGGTAACTAATTTTACATGGCTCTCCCGTCTGGCCAAACGGTAAATAACCACAAACTAAATTTGCAAGTATTAAACAGATTTTGCTAATTTTTTAAAAGGTTTAGCAAGACATGTCTGAGAAAAGTGGTGAATTATACAGGGTGTCTCAGTTAAGCGTTTCAGAACTTCTAAGAGGGGTAGGGGCATCCTGACGATTCGAAATCATATAGCAATGTTGGGTCGGAAATGCTTTCCTGAAGCGGTGACGTACACAGAAATAGCATAAAGAAAAGAGACTGTAAGTTAAAAATCGCTATAATAATACATTGAAATAATTCTATGGTACATGGGCCAAAGTAAGTGTTCGAAGTTTCTGCCACCGGCTACAATGTACACCTCACATCTCCGGCGCATGGACATTCAAACGTTCTGCAATACTCCAGGCATATCTCGCAGGCAGCTACTGCGATTCTTGCAACCAGCATTATCAACAGGGTGTCATAAACCAGTGTTTTCATATGACTCCAGAAATCAAGACATGATAGGTCGGGTGACCGAGGAGGCCATCTTTTCTTTATGCTGCTTCTGTGTACGTCACCGCTTCAGGAAAACAATTCCGACCGCACATTGCTATATGATTTCGAATCGTCAGGATGCCCCCTACCCCTCTTAGAAGTTCTGAAACGCTTAACTGAGACACCCTGTATAAACCTACTAATTGTTTAGAAATAGTGAAGGATAAAAATCTACTAAATTGAATTTATTAAACTCCTAGAATCACAATTAACCCTTTCGCGCCGACTGTCACAAATACGTGACAGCATAAAACCGTATCAACCAGGGTAAAAAGATAAAACTGGTAATCAAATTAATTCTTTAGCAGTTTATTTGTGGGTAGAGTTATAAATGTTTGGTTTATTTAATTCACCATTACCTTCGTTCAAAATAAAACTATTTAGTTATATTTTGAATTAACAATGATTATATGATTAAACTAACAATAATTAAAGTAAAAGCAAAGTAAGTTTGTCAAATCTGAAACGACTACATTTAAGTTGCCGTTTTTTATTTAATTACATCCTGATTCTGATTTTATATGAATGCTTTTCTGAATCACCCGTCCCCAAGGGGTTAATAAACTACCACTTGAAAATATTTATTCGCTGTCCGGAGCAAGTTGGCATCTCTGTGTATATAAATAAAACTATTTTTGTGTGTTCTATATTGCATTAATTTCTTCAAACCATTTTAATAGCGATAATAATATAAAAAAAAATAATAATTTACTCGAATTCTGTGTTTTTAATAATCTTGGCTTCGCCAGTCACAGGTGACCCGCGCGGAGCCACCAACAAACTCAGTGCCGGTCACCGGTGTCCCCCATGGCATTCAACACGTTAAATGTTAAACTAAGAGGAGATAGCCAAGTTTAAATTTAATAGCAAGTATTTGATTAAAAGTTATAGAGCTCTTTTTAGTTGATAAGGTACCTACACCAAACATATTGCCATTTATAAGAAGTGGTAATTAAAAATGCATTATTTCTTTCTAAAATAAACTTATAGCAGAGTATATTAGCCACCACTTTTTATTTATTTAAAAAGCATGCATAACAAGTTTACTCGTTAAATGAGGTGAATGTCACTTAAAAACAAACGATACATATATCTCACATATATACATCTATCAAATCTATAATTATTTATGCATCCCCTACTTGGTGCAATTACAGTAAAATAAATCCTAAAAAATTTAATGTTTTTCTAAATAAATTACTAAGAAAAATGTGTGGAGTCCTATACTTTATTAGAAGCAAAGACATGAATAGAGATTTTAAATTAAAAACCCTCACTGAAACTTTAATGATACTTATCACGAAATTTTATAAAAAAAAAAGCCCAAAAATGCTCTGCAGCAAACTACAACAATATTTTTTTAAAGCAGAAATGCTAATTGTAGATTCCAAAATCTGACCCCTAACTTCACATTTCACCTCCGACGCCTCATATCATATCTATCAAAACAAATAATTTAATCAAACTTTCTAAAAATAACGTTTCCTCATGCTGATACAACTCTGAACAACTCCAAAAACAAACAAACACAGCTTAGAGCAAGCTGCTCATTTTAATTTTTGAGTCATTTTTAGTTATCCAGGAAAAATGCTTGAAACGTTCATAAAAGCAACTCCACTGCCTGCTTACCTCAATGCTCAACCAAAACAGTGTTACAATTCCTGATGAATGGGATAGAGGTCGCTTCGCGGCCCAGGTGCCCAATAAAATCAAAACACTAGGACTGGACCCCTAACCCACTTTTTCCCTAGCGGTGCTATTTTATCAGATAAATTCAATTAATTCTTCACTATTTTTAATCTTTTATTGGTACTTATAAATTTAAATTATAACACTGCAGGTGATTGGCGCTGTAGTCGTTCCTCTAACTGTTCATAACTCTGATTTCTTATTGGTTCTACGATTGTGTCAATGGCTTTTCAATTGCAGCAAATAGTTCAAAATTATTTTTACTTTTTTCTACATCACGAATGAATTACCCTTATTTTTCTTTCTGGTACTCATAACTCATGAGGAAAATTACTTCACGATTTCACAAATCAAAATGAAAAAGGTAGCAATAATATAACTACGAATATGAGATGAATAGGTTAATTGGATATTAATTCACAAAGCATAAATTTTGCCACCACTTTAAATATTATAGGTGCTTAGATTAATATCCATGCTTCAGATCCAGATAAAATAGAATAATTAGAGTATAAAACTATTCTGGTAAACATAATTTAAAAAAAATATTTTTACTCTAACGAATTGGTAGTAATGACTAGTCATTACTACCAATTTTAAATTTTTTTCCAGGAACACTACAATCCCTTGTATAGAACTGTGCTTGTTAAAAAATTATTTTGATTTTTTCAGGATGGTTCGGAATCTTTCTGATACTCTGGGCTAGTATAAACAGTTGTTATTGTGCCGTAGTACTTGGAGAGACGTGGCTTATCATGGAAAAGCACTGGGAAGAATACAGGGGAAAATTCCGCTACCCATATCCTGCCATGGGGATGAGAACAGTCGGATTATGGATGAGGTAATTTGAATTCTAAACTAAATTTCACATTAAAAAACAAAATACATGCGATCACCGACTATTTCTGATCAATATATTACCACCAAGCATATATTGGTCATAAAAGGATATAGCATCAAAAACAGAAATGTATTATCGCCTTCTTCCTTTTCACTCCCGACGTACCAGAGAAGTAGGAACACTGATTGTCACTTCAGTGAGTTTTTTTATTTTATAACCGTCATCGAAGAGCCGGTCCAATTTTAAGTTTGCGACTACCAATGTTCAAATCCGTAGCTTTGTAGTTTTGAACCTAATCCAAACGACAGGGGAACTCAAGGATCAAGTATTGGAAAAAATATTTTCCTTTTGTGGAGGACTTCTTGATGGAACTAACCCGCATTTGCGATGCATGGAGTGAAAAACCACCAAAACCTATCATGGTTAGTCTGACGGCAAATGGAATTCTTATCTATAATCGGTCTACAACAGGGGATATTTTACGTCAGCACTATAAACTGGGCGAGCCGGGTGCGAAATTCGCATCGACTAGCCAACGCTGAGTTTCGAACCCGTTCACCTCCTTGGGTGGCGAACACTTTATCCCCTGAGCTACCACGGCTCACACCAGTAAATTAGAAAAAATCCTGTTTAGGACTACATTTTTAAATTGCAAAAAAAAACTATAGTGTGTAAAGATAAATTGATTACAGATTTGAAATCAGAGATATGAAAATTTCTAAGATCTGTTCAAAAATCTCATGGAACAAAAAGATATGTCTCCTAGTGTCATTTATCTATTTTCTGTATTCAAATAGTCTGTATAAGCGCCTAAAATAATAACAAAACTAATGAAATAAATTAATGTTCTTAAAAGCATTTCCCATCTCATGTAGACATATATGGCAATAAGCAGGCGGATAGACTGGCCAAGGAGGGCTGTTACCACGCTAATCCTTCCTCTTCAACTCTTACTTTCCTAGAACATCAATCCATAGTTAATTCTGAAATTTCAAAGGGGTGGAGGTTTCCTCCATACCACCACTGGTATGCGGGCAAAAGAGCCAGGTTCTTCATTCGCCCTCAATTGTGAAACCGCAGTTCTAAAACCGCAATTTTCAGATTAGCAAGTGGTCACTCAAAAAGTCCTCTCGTTTTTCGAAGGCAGGAGAATCTTCGAGGTCTGCTCCAAATGTCAAACTGAGCAGGCTTGCCGGTTTGAAACGCAATAATGCTTTGTATCGTAAATGCTTTGTATCGTAAATGCTTTGTATCGTAAATGCTTTGCATCGTGAATGCTTTGCATGAATAATGCTTTGTATCGTAAGTACTTCTTAACAATTTCTTGTATAAGAGGTTTCTTCTTCCCTGGCGACTCTAAAACAATCGCCAACATCAATTGTAGGAAAATAAAATCCGCTAAAAAAATCCAAATTATTTTATTATCGATTTATTAGAAGGCGTTATTATAGATTTTTATATCTATCTATGGGGTTAATAA